TTCAACATAAAATGCCATGGCTAAATTGACCAAATTTTATTCGGGGTTAAACAGGTGATCTAAAATTGATGCACAAATCCTGCCTTCTCCGTAAGAGCAACGGAAAATGTTTGTCTTGTCTATAAGGATAAGCAGGGTGAGAAAACACTATAGGGAACAAAGCTTGTTTTCGATAACTTTTTCCGCGGACTTATACAGTTACAAACGGGGTTTATTTTTATCAAACTATTGCAGTAGTCTGATGTGATGAATGTTATTAATTGACTGCGATCTTTTTGTATGTGGCTTGAAAATGCAAGAATGAAGATCTTTGTTGTTGTTGCTTTGTTGTTGTGTGGTTTGGAACTGTTCATGGTGGACAGATTGAGTGAGCCGTTCCATTTAATGCCTGCGTCCCTGGGTCATGCCAAAGGTCACGGTCTTTTCGGTCGGTTGTCAGGTTGAGGCCAGGGTAAGCTATCATTTGACTTGAAAACAATCCCCAGTTAGAAAAGTAATGTGTTTGTCAATCATAAATTTATTCCCAAATTTATCTCATACATATATTTGGAAAGTGGAATTAAGCGGGACATGGATTTGGTGATATGTATTTTGGTTGATCTCACAGTAATTTGTTAGTGTTGGTGTCAGATGAATGCTTTGAAACCTCCATCTTTCTTACTCCATCTTCGTTCACGACATTCATTTCAACCAGTCAGCAATACATCCGAGAGGCTCTGGTCTGGATTTCTGCTTTCGTTAAAGGTCATCATTAGTGAATGTTCACCGTCCTGTCCGGGTTTTAAACTCAGGGCACAAAGCATGGAAGTCGTATTTGGCACCAACGCGTCAATCAGTTTGCGCTGGGGCTGGTTCAGATATCATCCGTAGAAGTAGTTAACGGCTTCTTTTTTACCGGCAGCAATGAAATGAGACACAGTATATCATCTGCTAACTCCAATCGAACGCCTTCCGCCAAGTCAGATCCACTTTACCATTTTCCTTCTACTGTCTAAAATAAACCTGGTAGACCCTATTTGTATTCGCATTTAACTGACGGTTACTTGGGAGTACTGGTGTGGTGTAAATCGTACTGAGTTTACCAAAGCTCTGAGTAAACAGCAGGACATCGAAACCAATATCATTTATATACAATCAGTTGAACTAAATATCTGGTAAACTTCTTGTACAGAGCACATTAGGCGTGAACTGAAAAGCTGTACCATGCTGTACAGGTGCATCAACCTTGGACCTTATCATGTGCGGTAAGGATTCATCGACCCAACTGAGAATCGTGAACCCATGACCTCAAAGGTTGAGCACAATCATGTTGCTAGCCTGAAAACGAAACAGGTAATCAGACCATTTTGTTTATACCTGCTCACAATTCAACACATTACATCTGTACAAGCTCACCGTGGACATCATACTGCACGCATCTCAGCACTATTTTCCAGGAATAGGACTCGAATGAAAAAAATTCTATTCGAACTACTTGTTGCTCTGTGCAAAATGAAAAAAACGTCATTTGATCGAATCAAATCGTTCACGATTCTCATGCAACCAAATCAAGTTTTACATAGTATGAAAACGTTTGTGGCATGAGTATAGGCGTTGACTTGCTTCATGAGATTTGGCCAATGGAACAAAAGCAAAAACGCATTAACGCACATGTATGCATACGTCCATTGACTTAATTCAGCGAAAAGATAAATGAAAGCGGAGATCCAACGGGTTTCGAAATAATCGAGAGATCAAAAGGGCCATTTAGTAAGACTAAATCCGAAGAAAATCTGTCAATGTTCGAGTGACATTTGAATAGTGTTGTTCCTAAGTTTACAGAGTGCAGAAACTGTATCCGCTATCGGAATAGAACAAGGATGTCATGATAACAGAGCCGCAAACAATGATGGTTGGCAACTGAAATCCCCTATTGAAATGAACTCATATCATTAATTGGTGCCATGATTTAAGATTACAGTGATGCAAGCTCTGTTCCTGGTACTGATGCTCAGGTACGGTAAATTTATTTCAAAACCTCTGTTAGTTGATGTTTTCTTTTGTGATCTATTTCTACCCTATGTAGCTGAGGATTGAGTGATTTGTCGTGATCTTGAGTCTCAAAACGATATAAAACCCAAATGCATAGTATTTCTGAATTTCCGTGTATTTAAAATTTTTGGCCTCCAATCAACCGTTCGCTGATTCAACAGTACAAGTTGGTTCATTGTGGAGAAGATCGGTTTCAGGCCGAATATATTTCAATTCCAAGCGAAAAAATCTGGTGGACGTATGACACAAATCCCCACCATGTCAGCAACAACACGCTAAGCACCACCACATGAATTACTGAAACACTTCCGGTTGCTTGTGATGTAGAATCTGACGCGTCTCGGTGGGCTACAATGTTATTTCACTGCCACTAACTTTATAGCCACGTGGTGCACACCAAATGTTCGCTCTCTCCACGTAGATAGTCCACATCGCTTGCCCAAACCTATCTAGATACCCAATGCGCTTACATGACGTGGCTGATTCATTACGTATAACTGATGTGAATAAGATAAGCACGCACTTGTGAGCTGATAATTTACAATGCCATTCCTTTTAATTTGTGATACTCGGCAGCTGATCGATGCCCTCTCTCACTGAATACCAGTTTTCCGTGTAATCAATCCGGAGAAATCCCATTGCACAAACAAAATTTATTCTATTAAACTTAGAGTGTTCTGGTTATTTCCCCATAACGTGTGCTCATTGTCTTTTTCCACTCACTTGTGTGAACAGTAGAAGGGTAAACACTGTAGTTACGAGGATCTGATGTTCACTTGTTTCAACTGTAACTGTAACCCCTAGGACCTTTGGTGGCGGAACCAGTAAGGATTCAATTGATCGGACGTAGAACTGAGGAGGACAGCAGCAATGCTCAGTTTAATCAAATTTATGTAGTGATGCCATGCTTGAAAGCTTGAAATTGAGTACTCAACTTTTGTCAGTGACCTTATTGTAAACTGCCTCAAAGCCGGATTTTATGTGGTCGCTGATTTATTCACTGATACTTTCTGAAGTAAACACATGCGGGGATAACATATATAACTTAACATGCTCAATATTTTGAGAGCTGGAGTTGAAAAACTCCATAGCTACATGTTTACTCTGAGTGACGATTGGTTTCTCAATCCCCAAATAAAGCAAGCAGGTGGTGAGTTAAACTATTGTCATACTCGTTCTCGGCGGAACACTATCACTTATCATTCACGTTTGTTCTCGGGGTTTGAGCGTACCACAGACATGATTATCATGAACGGGAACCTGAAGAGCAGTATTCAGGGTGGTCAAGTTAAATACAAACCGAATCAATGAGCAGCTCAATTCTAGCTCCCCCGGTCAATGCTGGGCATCATATGAGTCCAACACAGTTCAAATTTTTAAATCGAGGCAAGCCACTGATTGATGCTGTTGTGAAAAATTGGGAAAACAATTTGTCATCAATTAGTTACCCTCAGTGAAGGACTGCTATCATCAAGTGATTTTCAGTCTGTTGAACTAACTCAAAGCATTAAACAGGTTTATCGGTTTGTGACTGCAAGTAGTTTGTAAACCCTTTTATATTGAACTTCAAACCGCCATTGGCAGTACATACACCCAACAGTGAGAAACTATTTAAAACCGGACAGTCAATCAGCTGAGAGCGCGCGTTTTCTCTTTTTCATATAATTCGTTTTATTGGTACTGGGAATATGCATGTTTCAAGGAGCGTTAATTAAAGCCTCACTAGATTTCCTAGCATGGCGAGGTATGAATAAGGTCGTCGGTATTTGATGATCAAGTATAATAGTCCTAAACAGCGAACTCTTGTCAACGTTACTCATCTCAGAATAACAAATTCACATGATACATGAGGTGTATCAATGTGGTGCTTAGGAGGGGACCTACAACATCAGTGCTGCAGACTCTCTTGGACTAAGCAGCCAGAAGGGGGGAGTGTTTAAAGGATAATAAGGAGCAAATGAGTCTAGTTAACATACTTTTGTGAAGGTAGAGAAGTAGGATAGAACAAAAACAGTGATCGGTCCCTTGCATCCCAGTCACCAAAACACCCTATCTAAAATCAGTCGCACGCAAGAGAACGGATTTCGTAGGCCCATGTTTCTGCTTCTGATCTCCGTCCCTATGTTGTGACCCTCAAGGTGGAAGACACGAAAGGATAGGCGAAAAGAAAAGCAATAGAACTTGGTGTGTAAATTCGGTAGAGTGGTCACGAATTACACAGAACATGTCAACAAAGTAGAACACAAGACTGGGCGTGGTCTTCCTCATCCAGTGTGTTGTTTTTTGTTTCATTTTGAGTTCTCGCCGAACTCCAACAACAATCGATTAGTTCACAACCAGTGCTCACGGACATTCTTTTAAAGGATGGCTGTGTTTTATACTGGATCAAGGGTTTAAGTCACGTGAAACGTGATCGACAAAAACAAAACAACATTTTGACCATTATTTTTCCCCATAAGAGAGGCGTTTTTCAATAATGTTTGGCCACACCCACGTGCAAGTTTAGTGAAGTTAAATGGTCTGCGTGTTCAGCAATGTCAAGAAAATTGCACCGGATATGCTCTGTTTTGAAACATGAATGGTTTGATGATTTCAGCCCCGGCCAACAAACTTGACTGAAATTGTTTTTCTTACCACTCTCGGTCTGCTTCTTATGTGTCTCCATCAGGTGCCACTAAAACCGATGTAAACGTTTGTGAAACATAATGATTCATTTCTTATCAAACATGAAAAACACTCACGTACGGGAGAGAAAAAATATTGGGACGATGACAGTAGCATGTATGTAATGCCAAAGGAAGTAGCGTGAAATACCATAATGAGCTAGTGGAAAATAAACCGGAAACGTTTCTGACACAAGCATAGCCACTGCAGTATTCCAGTGAATGCCGGTGTGAATACGTTGTACTTCTGCATACCATATTACGTTTTGTAAGAAACAACTCTTCGGTCGATTCTCTCATTTTTAGAGTGCGCCGACACCCAAGAGAGTAATCACGAATAGGTCATCAGGAAGAGCTTCAGTACCCGCACCAAACGGACGTTTGCAGAGCACCGGCGGTGCTGGATCTGAACGCAGTGTAAATCGACAGAAACTCAGTAAGTTCATTTTTATTTATATTCATGCATGGAACATGAAGTCAACCAAGATACTGTGACAGCAGTATTTACCGAATTCAAGGGAGTAAAATAGGGTTGTCGAGTGTCTTGTCTTGAAGTTACTTTAATGTGTAGCAATCTCATTTGTTTGGTTTTATCAAGTTCTACGGAACGGATTGCATTGTATTGTATTGTGTGTAACTTTTGCAAGCACTTGAGCTCACGTTTCAGTTAAAAAATCATACACGCCAACCGACATAATGTACATAGCTAACTATAAAAATTTTCACAAACATGAGGATATTTCATAACCCAAGGTTAAGACAAAGTTCACTTATTGACCACTCTTTGTTTATGAGTAGACAAGCAAGATACGGTATAGGTGAATTACGGTAAGCATCAATTCGAGATGAAATTTGGCGGAATTTGGAGCGTGTTGAATGATGGGAATGACAAAGTGTCAGTTCTGCATGCAATGGGTGGTCAGGAACTGTGAGAATCCTCTCGGCAAATTTCACACAGGAAGTTGCGTGATACTGTAAACGCTTTAAAGCTAATTCATTCACAGGAATAGAAGAGATACGACTATTAATGGTTAGGCAGCGGCGTAAGACCCTAAAATCCTGTTTGAGTAAGCCAGGATAAATAACTGGGGAACAGTAGAGTCAGATGGGGAAAACACATTGATAAACAAAGGTAGAAATAACTGACTGGGATGCGCAAAACTGTCTGAGCTTTCGTGTTTGAAATGATAGGCTCCGCAGTTCACCAATGCAGTTGTAGATGTGGGTTGACCAATGAAGATTGCTATCTATGGTTACACCAAGATATTTGACAGAGTTCACCCTGGATAAAGGATTGTTATTATTCACTGTCGGATATGGGGAATGAGCAAATCTATATAAACACTCAACACGCTTACTGGGGTTTAGGGTTAGCTCCGATGAGGAGGAGAATGACTGAATTTGATCAAGATTATCAGTGATAGAGTTTAGATCAGATTAAGATGAAATGGGTTGGCACAACTCAAAGTCATCTGGATATTCCTGCGAGAGAAACACGGAATATCAAAAATATAAGTGGAAAATAAATAGGAGGATTGCACATCTTGGAGGACCCCGGAGTTGTTGAATAAGAGTTTCGAGGTGGTCTTCCCCAATCTAATGGTTTGTATTCTATTAGTTTTGGAGTATTGGAAACAAAACCCAATAACTAATCGTTAACTCTAATTGACCCATTGGCAGAAATAAACAAAATCTGAGGTTACACATATTGTGACGTCATCTGTGTCAAATGGTCAATCGGGAAAATGACAAATGATTAATTAGCTTCTATTCAGTACCGTTGTGATGTTAAGAAAACGTGATTATTCGTTATTGGATTCATTCAAAAACAATTATTTTCTTGTCAAAAGCAACATCGAATCCATTTGTGGACGGATTATTTTCGTTTGCTCACCGGGGCACATTGCATTCGGGAGGGGCCAGCGTTTTCAATATAGGTGCGTCATGTCACGGATTAACGTGATCCTGATCCCTTTTCTATCTCGAATGAGGTCAACCAAATCCAGCTTTAGTGTTCCTCGGAAGAAAAGTGGCATGCATCAACAGGACAGTGTAAGGNNNGGGGGGGGGGGGGGGGGGGGGGGGCGGCAAAAATCAGACAGACCATGCACGTGCACGACGCTTTTGTCGACAAGAATATTAGCGAATATTTAAATAGGAACGAAATGAAGCGAAGGAAACTGGAAGAGTAAATAGAGTCAGTTTTGGCGGAAATGATAATAATGCTTAACACGCAGATATGACGGTGAAAACGCGTAAGAGCACAATGGAGATAAGTTTCCAAAACGTGTTGGTGTTGCTGTGTTCTCCGCACTCAAAGTGTTGTTCGCAGACGTTTGTAGCCAGGCTAGGCGAATTAAAAGTATAAACACAGTTGTAGACAGGTCACTGTCTCTCATCGTGACCACTGTAAAAGGATTAGCGGCAAAATATGATTAAAACGTTTTTCTGTGTTTGTGGGTATAAACTCGCTCAAGTCCCTGCAGCCCTGGGAACGAATTCTAAAACGTAAAAAGGTTAATTTAATCTCCCATTTTCTGAGAATGCAAACATTTCTGTAGGTATGTAGGGGCGGACAAGTGCACTATCGTTTCCAGTTGCACTCGGAGGATAAGGAGAACGATTTCCTTTTGAGATTGTTCCCGAACTCTCGAAATTGGCGTCCTAGTTTTGTTGTATTTTAATGTATGGTACTGAACTCTTAGCTGATATGAATGTATGCTTAAGGGGTGAGAATGCCTGACACTATACAACGATAACCCCAATGTAATCGCAGTATCCAGCGTTTAATCAAACAGCGTGAATTTGGAAGCACAAAACTTCTGAGTTTGAAATATGGCCGACGACCGATGGACATGATTTTATCTTCAATAATTATTCGAATGGAAACCCATGATTGCAAATTTCCGTGCAGCGTTCGATCATTTACAACACCTTCATTTAAGTAGTATATTCATTTACTATTATTCGATAGATAAAATGAGGGAGAAAGACTATTATATAATGGTAATATTGTGGAATGATTGAAACTCGGGGTGCTTATGCTTGTAAATCCACCGATCTGTATTGGTTATCGTCTGATCCCCGATCTATTTTCGATACTTTTCTGCTTTTCAATCAGAATTTATTATCCATTACGCTTTCATTGGTTTGATTAGAAAAGGCTCGTTTCATATCAGAGCACAACACCACTAACTGAAGCATTGGACGATACCGATATTTCACTAGCCTGCGGTAGCAGCACGCGAATGAGTGTCTTCGATACCTGCATTCGGTGATTATCTAAGTGTCATCAGCTGTTTTGAATAGTATAAACCTTTTGGTGCGAACAATCGTAATGATTTCATAATCTGATTAAACGAAAGTCGTTTGAAAAGGTGATTAGCAATAATTCTGGCCTGCTTTTGAGCTGATTTGAATTGCTGAAACATCGTGTGCATGGTGTTACATAGGTGCACAACGCATTCCGAAACGACTGTCACAGGGTACTTCATAATTTACACATAAAACATTTTCTTGGGTTTTAGTTTTGCTTCGAAGATTTCATCAACCCCTTAGTTTGCACTTAATCATGCTCAGACATCTGCGAGTAAATGAATTCCGGTAGACAGCTTCTGCTTTTGCCCAAGTATATGCTCTGACAAAAACAGCTACTCCTATGTTATCTGTCACCATGGGCGTTTCAAAGGAGCTTTTGCAATCATTATCCTGCTATTATCAACCATTATGGGAACCTTTATTGATCCGTAAATGCTGGCTGCACCATGCTTACAGACGGTACATATAATATTGATTAAACGCATAATGAAGTATACAAAATGTCGGCAATCAGTGTTGGTGCACGTTATTTGGTTCACTCACATAGCTACCGTCACCTTCTTTTCCCCTGTCATTCGCATTGTGTAAGGTTTTGCCACTGTTGGTCTGTCACACCTTGCGGCTGTCTTATCCTTTTTGATTTTCTCTTGAAACTATTATGTGATTTTGGCACACAGAAGCCAGTGAATAATTCGCTAATAAACTTGTCTCTTTCGCTACACATCTCTAACATCATGGTCTGTGTATATGCCACACGTATCCGTCAACGTGAACCCAATTCTGGATTATTCATCGCCCCACGAACGGTTATTGCAATTCAAAAGAAGTATTGTGTTTTAGTTAACATAGTTGAAGAAATTCACTGACCAAAAACCCTCGGCCCCTTTTGTTCCTTGGTGCATATTTTGCATGAAATAACCTCCTGCTTCAACTTACAATCTGCCTTTTGTATAAGTTTGGCTGACAAGCAGATTTTCTGTAACTTAAATTAAATTGAATATTATTCCAGACATATCGCAGCCGTTCAGTTACACGTTTATCCTTTCGTGAAGTTGATTCACATGCGACTACGAGGTAAACGTCTCTCACTGATGCCAGATTATCATGCATATCCTCATTACAACACATTGTGTTCGTTGCTCCTGGTGCACGGGAGCCCTGTGTGGTGCCGTACTACGTTATGCACCGGAACAACGTTTAAATGAGTTAGGCAACGATTATCGATCGCATCCGTAAAACGGAAGGATCAAAATGAGTTCGGGTCATCGATACGTGAGTATCCAGTTTTCCGTTTGGTAAACACTCAATGAAATCGATAAGCAGTTGTTCCACTTGAAACGATCAGCTGCAACAAGTGTGGTTCAATCGAAGCAGTGTGTCCAAAATCGCGTTTTTGAAGTTGTTGCTGCTTCGTGTCACGTGATGCCCAGCCAGGATCAGTTTATACCAGAACAGAAGACAGTCGGTATATTATTTACGTGGAAATCCAACGTTTGCGTTGGTCGGAGGGTTTCTTTAATTATTCGAATTAAGTGTCTGACATGTGTTACACCAGAACTGCAGTCAAATGTTTGTTACGACAACACCCTTTAATAAAACTAAGTACCTTTTTCATTTTAGTGCTGTATCTGTGACTGTGTTCACACCCAGCAAAATATATTGATTTTTCAGAGCAGTTTAATGTAGTTAGATTTTTTGCAGTGGATCGATGCAAGTCAATTTATGCTCACAAGAAATGCGTGCTGACTTCGTTGTCTTCGTATTATTTTCTCCGATGGTGGCATTTTTGTAGAAGCTAGATTTCTTATCACGTTCTCATTGTTCTACCTGGTGGTTTAAAGGAAATACCAAAAATGGCTGACTCTCAAGTTCCTTTGGTTTTAACTACACTGTCTATCACTAGTGATAGCCCTTCCGGCAGTTCGCCTTGCGTCTTCTTCTTTTTAAGCATTTATTTCACAGATTCCTAGTTACAGATAGATGCTGACTTACTTGCACTCCAGTTATATTTACCTTCAATTTATTTTCATAACGAAACATGCACGTGAAGTTTAGTGCACATGCCGTTCTGGAAATTGGGTAACTTAGTGGTGGACAAACACGGTTCGCCAGATAAAT